GGGACAGGATTTAACTTTGTAAGCAAAACCATGCTTGAAATTGTAACCAGGTATGATAACAAAGTGTGGTTAAGCATTATGTCTGCACCAGGTCTGGTTATTCAAAGGGTAGTTATCCTTGGTAGTTTTTTCTCTTTTTTGTGTGTGGATCTGCTACCAGTTTCTAACTGATACTCCATTCGATCTAACTGATACTCCAAATACCTCAGGAAATTCCTTCTGTTCATGCTTCTCCAAGTTGAGAGGGTAAGCTCCATTTTTCCCTTGATGGCTAAAATCTTGCCAGTTAAAATCAGATTAGAATGGAAAGGCTGATAGTTGTCATTTGGAACTTGAATGCCTTTCCACAGAAGAAAGTAAACAAAAATAGGAAAATCTTCATGGGTACAGATACATCCATCTCAGTGCTTTCCATACAGCCTGTGAATTGAGACATTAAATAGTTAGTTATACTGACAATGCTTTGAAGTGGTATAGCTCAGACTAAGGTTGGTCAGACCTTCAAAACCTAAAAATGCATTTTTTAAAAGAAAAATATTTAAAAATGTAAAAATTGATACCAAACCCTAAACATGCATGTTGATTTACAAGCAACCGTAACCTTGGCTACTGAATGCTAATGAAGACTCACACAAGGACACTCTAGTGCAGGCTGAACTTCTGAATAGCTTCACAAATGTACAGCCTGCACTGATGCTGCTAGACAGATTGGGTTAAATCAAGACTATTTCAATAAGTAATTCAAATAACGATTTAATTCACTAAGGGAAAAAGACCAATTTAAATTGTATCTTTTCATTAGTTGTTTAGATATTTCCTGGATTTAAGTGCACTCTGAATGGTTGCCGTAACCGTAACACACATGGATTAAAAGCCTAATAGAGACTTTGTACAATATACATTTTAGACAGTGATAGATAGTACATTGCTTATCTTTTGATAACTGTGCTCATGTCAAACCTGCAGCTGTAAATGGGTACTGTTAGATTCAGCCCTGGAAGATGTTACTTCTACCCAGTGCTGGGTTCTGTTTTAGTCTCGTTGGTCATTTACCTGTCCTGCCCTGCCTCACCTTAGAGAAATAATCTCAATCAGCAGCAAGGGCTGGTGATAATTAATGATCAGGTCACTGGGATGGAAGGTAACTGTAAAGCATGGAACAGGAGTAAAAGGTCACTAAGGTGGATTAGTAGATGCTACCTGTGGTGACTTACCTGGCACCCAATATAAATGCATGTACTATATGATGACTGATGAAGCTGTTTTCTCCACAGTTCCTTCTAATCACAGCTCAGTTTTAAGAGATCATATGCTTGTATTAAGTTCAGGTTTCACTTTAAACCATGCTGTTTTTAAAAGAGAAGTTATAGCTGAAACTTTAAAAAAAAATTAAAAATCTGATTCAGATGTTGAAAAAAAATAAGTTATATTTTTTTAAAAGAACAATAACAACCAAAAATAACAAGTAATTATTATCCAGCCTGGGTAGGCTGATTAGCTGGTTCTGATCCTTGTCCTTTAGTATATATGTCTAATCTATTTCTCTGCTCATCTGTAGGCCTTGGAGATGTACAAGGATGACTGGAACAAGGTTTCTGAGCATGTTGGCAGCCGCACTCAGGACGAGTGCATCCTACACTTCCTGCGTCTCCCCATTGAGGACCCTTACCTGGAGGACTCGGAGGCCTCTCTTGGGCCCCTAGCCTACCAGCCCATCCCCTTCAGCCAGTCAGGCAATCCTGTCATGAGCACTGTGGCTTTCCTGGCTTCGGTTGTGGACCCCCGTGTGGCATCTGCAGCAGCCAAGTCGGCCCTAGGTAATTAACCTCCTATCCTGAGCATAGCTACACTTCACGGACATTTCCCCCAATTAGCAAACCCAGAAATGCAAGCAGAACACATTATGCAAATTATGCAATTTATTCCATTTCCTGGACTATTATTTTCCACATAATTCAGTGGGATGGGAGAGTTGCATTGGCAAAAACGTGGGAGAGGAAGGATATTGGGAGTGGTTGGGCTTGCAGAAGAAGGGTCACAGCATGGATGCAGGGCACAATACGATTATCCCACTGTTCACTGGAAATGCTGTCCACCCCACCTCTGTATAGTATGCTCCCCATGTTACCAAGCTTTTCTCTGCAGCCATACAGACTAGGAAGTTGGAGTTTTTTAAAATGAAAGCTGAGGATCTCAGGATGCCGAATTCTGGGCCTGTATCCTGGGAACCAGTAAGGAGATTTCCTGCTGTTACGAATGATGCTTTTTGCACAGACTGTACCTCGAGCGGACTCCTACCTCCATTTTTTTTGTTTTTTTAGCTTCATTTGTGCCATGTATCTGTATCAAATATGCTGCTATCTGAAGCCTGACTAGCACACTTCAAGTGTCTGGCTTCCTGCCCACCTCCCCAGGCCCTGTCTCCTCTTGTAAGGAAAGTAAGGCCACCTAATGTGCTCCGGCTCAAACACTAGTCTCCCAACACAAGTGTACATTTCAGGGATCTTTGGTCAATCAGCAGTTCCTTATAACATGTGCCTGTATATGTTTGTGAGCGATATATTAAAACAGTAACATATGAAGTAGCCACAGAAGACATTAGTGGAGCTGCGTGATTTTCACAATTGTGGAAATCCTAACACCGGATTATCTAACATCATTGGAAGTAAAGGGGCTCAGAAGAGCCTTTTCCTTAGCTAGATGCTCTGCCCTCCCTTCCACTGTACTTGAGGGGAAATATAAGAACATTCCTTATGCGGGAAGGCTTTGCACCTGCCCACTCAGGGAGATAGAGACTTTAGAACATATGTTCTTTAAATGCCCACACTATGAGGTGGCGCGTAGAGAGATTATCACCCCACTGATAGGAAAAAACCCGGGTCTGTCAGAAAAAAACAAACTGGGATTTCTTTTAATTGACAAACATCCCAAGATTATCCATCAAGTAGCCAGGTTCTGTAAGGTGATACTAAGGTCACAGAAATTGTTTAGCAGCTAGATGTAAGTGTAACTTCTATACTAGATTCGAATGCGTTGTATTTGGAAGCATTCTATTTTATATTTAAAATGTTTATATTAGTTTTTAATTTTCTAGAATGCATTATCTGTAACATACATACATTCATACATATACATCTGTAAGCATATCTGATCTAAGGACTGTAATAGAAATAAACTAAACTAATACTTGGAAGGTGTGCCCAAGAATCAGCTAGACTGTGAAATGATGGGTGTTAGGAGTCTGGGAGCTAGAGTAAATCCCTCCACTGGATGCTAAAGCAGATCCCTCCAGTGAAGTGAAAAATCCAGTTCCCTCGCGGCTGTATCATAAGTCCTCCTCTGCCCATCCTGCAGCTGTTACACCATCTTCTGTATTTTTTAGTAAGTGGGAGAGGTGCAATTATATTTCTTGTTGGCCTGGCCCCAGCACCTGGACCATTCTACCTTGTTCTACCCTTCTCCTGTTATCCACATTGCCCATATTGTTTCTCAGTTGTTGCTCTGAAGTAAGCTATTCAGCTTGACTGTGTCTTCTGCAGAGGAATTCTCCAAGATGAAGGAAGAGGTGCCTACAGCCTTGGTTGAAGCTCACGTCCGCAAGGTGGAGGAAGCCGCCAAGGTGACAGGCAAGGCAGACCCGGCATTTGGGCTGGAGAGCAGCGGAATTGCAGGGACCACTTCCGATGAGCTGGAGAGAATAGGTGAGGGGGGCGAGCGGGGCGTCTTCCGCGCTTCAACCCGTGAAGCGCCCTCGTTGGACCTTGCCCAGTGTGCGGTGGGGACTAAGAAGGGTGCCGAGACGCAAGAGACCAGAGCCGGCCTGGCTTCCGGCCTGGAGCTCACACTCAACCGCCTGGCACAGGGTAAGGGGTTTCCCATCATCACTCCATCTAACTCCCCCCCTCCCCACTGGACTGGGTCAGCTGAAGGTTGGGATTTGTGGGTGGTGCTCTTCTCCTCCAGGACTGTAATGGCTGGTTCAGGGAGTTGGAGAACAGTAACTTTAAGCACTGTTCTTCAGGGCACATCTGGTTTCAAGCTGGAGTTGAGTAACTAGGGAACAGTGGAGGAGATTGGCATTTGGATCTTTTCCCCCATAATGGGGACCCGGCCCTGATCCTGCCTCAGAGCCAGAGCAAGAGTTTGCTGGGCCTGGTTTAGAGGCCCCCTCGGCCGTGGTTCTTTGCAAAGGCCCTGGAGACAGGATCCCATACATTTCTGGACTCCTGGGTTCCTTTCAGAGCATTCCTTCCCACTCCCATTCATTATTCCAACACTTCCCTCCAAAAAAAAAAGGTGTGGGGGGGAACTCTTACTTACGGGCACTAATATTGGCATCTTTTCTCCTGTCCTTTTTTCTCCACTGCTCACTCAGAAGAGAGCTGCACAGATGAGAGTCGAGCAGAACCACAGCCATCAGAAGAGAAGAAAGAGGTGAAGGTGCGGGAGGGCGTGGCCTAGAGCCTGATTATACGTGGGGCAGAAGGGGACCTGAATTAAACCCCTGGGGCATGATATAGAGGGCATAGCTGAGGCGGTGGGGAAATGAAGGGCTGGCTTTTAGGAAACCCCTCCAATGTGATTGCAGAACCAGAATGCCACTGTTTCAAAGTCTCTAAAGAAAGGCACAGTGACAGCTAACTGTGCAGCGATCCTTTATCCCAAAGCCATTCAGTATATGAAGCTTCTGATGCAGCGTTTCAAGGTTTTTGATCTGAGCAGCTGGAGGAATAACACTGCTCCAGTTTTGAGACTTTTCTAACTGGTGTTTTTGTGCTGTGTACATAAGTTTCAAGCTGTAGTTGCTGGTCATGATCTGGGAAGGAATACTAATTTTTAGAGCGGCTGTAGGCAGCTGTTGGCATCAAAACCTTCTTTCAATGCAGGAGCCAAGAGAAGGACCCCTGGAGGAGGAAGTAAAAGAGAAACTCGGAGAGGGGCCTAGGAAAGAAGAAGACAAGAACAAAGAGGCTGATGGAGAGAAGGAAATGGACAAGAATGATGGGGACCCCATGGGTGAGCAGCACCTTCCAAGATATGCTAGATTTGAGTCCAGGAGAACCTCAGAGGCCAACAAGATTTTCGAGAGTCAAAGCTCCCTTTGTCCGATCGGGTACCTGATCTCGAAAGATTATACCCTGAAAATCGTGTTGGTCTCTAAGGTTCCACAGGACTCAAATCGAACTGTTCAACTGCAGGCCAACACAGCTACCCTCTGAACTATCTTCCAGAATATGACAAGACTTGTACCAGGGCTAGTTAAGTGGGAGCCTGAACTAACTCAGGAAACTGAGACCATATGTCGTAAAGTCTCAGTGGTTATATTTTGACTTCACTGCTGTGCAGTAAACCCCCAGCTTCCTAGACAACCAGGAAGTTTACATGGTGTGGATGGGCTGGAAATCCGGGGGTCTGTCATCATTACTGTGTCAATTGTGTGGATGGGTGTGAAACCCCTCGGAACGAAAGGCAAGTTGGCAAAGTGTCATGGCATATTTTGCGGTTGATGACAGCAGCAGTACTGAGAGGTACGCTCATGAACTTCCTGCAGCCTTCCCTCTCGGTTGTCTTATCAGTGTCTGACCGGTCTCTGAAGCTTGTATCCAGCCAAAAACTGCCACCACAATACATGTAGATTTTCCCTATGTTTCCCCTTCTCCACTAGTCCCTTTTCACTGTTTGAATGATGCCACCTTTAGCTATGAGGCCCGTGTTGATGAAAAGCCACACAATGGGGGGGGGGTGCAGTGATGAGGGGGAACTGGACAAAATCTCCTGCTCCTCTGCTCATGAAGCTCCATTGGTGGAAGATGAAGGAGTAGTAATTTCACCCAATTTCCCTGCTTCATATGCACGACCAGCCTCCTAGCTTTTTTCTTTTTGTCCATATAATAATAATAATAATCTTTCAATTTATTAATCGCTCAATCCTGCAGAGCTGCTGGCTCTGAGCGATTTACAGTTACTCATTTCATAAGGGACTAACAATGATTCATGGGGGTAAGGGAGGACAACATATATAAATCTTTAAATCGCACACGTTCGCAGCCGACGGGGATTTGTTCAGCTGTAGACTAGACATGTTCCAGACGGCATTTCTCCACTCGACTTGGCTTGATGACGTCAGCTTTCTCCAAGTCTGATTCGAGTCGCAACGCTGCACTGCCACCGCCTGGCCGGAACGGCCCATTACAGGCTTCTTGATGCCGAAGAGATCTTTCTAGGCTTCCGATCTTATGAGCTGGACATTCCGTTCGCCGGCTAACACCTCCCCCACCCTCTCTAAGGGTTTTTAGTGTGCCCACCCTCTCTAAGGAGTGGTACCCATTTTATCTACTCGCCGAAGCTTTTGAACCGCTGGGTGGACGGCGAGCCTGGGACAAGGCTGGTAGCTCACACCAGCACGGGTCTAGAACTGACAGCCGTTCTGTTCAGCTTAGATGTTACTACTATAACCAGTGGATAAATCCCCTGTGCCACCGTCCCTTAACTCTAGGCATCTTCTTCCTGTGGCCCAAAAGGGACTGTTTTGGGAAAAATCCATGCTGTCAGCCCCTTCTGTATGACCAAAGATGCAAACGGTTCCCATAGCATTTTTTCTGCTCCTCAGCTGATGGAGACAAGGAGAAAGAGCCCAAGGATGGCCAGGAAGAGGGACCCAAGGATCTGGCCGAGATTGAGAGTGAACGAAAGACCAAGGTGGAGAGGGACATTGGTGAAGGTAACCTCTCCACTGCAGCAGCTGCTGCTCTGGCTGCTGCAGCAGTAAAGGCAAAGGTGAGTGGCAGGGGAATGGCTGGATGCGGTGCCCTTTGCAGGCCAGGCTGACGTAAGGGCTGTAGTTGTGGATCAGTAGCACACAAGACTGTCCTAGAGAGGGGGGCGGGAGAGATTTACGAAAGTCATGAGTCCTGATGAAGGAGAGCGTGAGGTGAGAAAGTATAAAAACCAAACCTCAGCCACAAGCCTACTTGGTCAAGAAAACCACTCTGTGACAGCCCCTCATCCATCCTATGAAGATAGTACGGACCTGCCTTACAAACTTACTGTAAGGGTTACTGAGGTAGAAGGTTTGGGAAGTGCTTTGTGCGCACCATAGATTTTACATACATCCTGTTTGTTTTTGAATATTTATTTAGTGGGGCTAAGTCACATTTTCCCACATGTTCATGTACCCTCCTTCTTATGTCATGCTCATAAAACACAGGCCGCCATCCTTAACCTAGGCGTCATGGCTTCAAGGCTTGGCTGTCGCAGGCATCTGAAGCTGTAGGTACTGACTGTGTCTTAGGATGATGTCCTTGCCCCACTTTCTCTGCTGGGGGATGTTGTTCTTTCAGTCTTTGTGGGATTCTGTAGGGCTTGATGTCGCTAGAGTGTTGCTCCAGCCTCCTTTTCTTTCCCTCCCCCCGGCAGCACTTGGCAGCAGTGGAGGAGCGTAAAATCAAGTCCCTGGTGGCCTTGCTGGTAGAGACACAGATGAAGAAACTTGAGATCAAGTTGAGGCACTTTGAGGAGCTGGAGACCATCATGGATCGGGAGCGTGAGGCAGTAAGTGCAGACTTGTCCTCTCAAAGTTAGGTCTGTTTACTCTGGGGGCTAGTTTTCTGGGGGGTGGGAGTGTTGTGATCTGGCTGCTTGTCATGAGAACCTTTGCTTAAATTTGGGGGCACCCTACTCCCTTCGTGGTGGTTAATTTTGCAGTCTGAGTCCCCTTACTTGTGGTCAGGAGATGGTCCAAAGGCACATCCTGTGGTTACATTGCTGCAGCGAAGTAGATCTGGACCTGGCTGATGCCTGAAGCAGAATCTGTCTGGGAACTCTGTGCTTACATAATGTTAGTAGCCAATGCTCCCTCTAAGCTGTGGAGTCCTGTGAGCAAAAATTCTACATTGTGAGCTACTGGCATTAAAGTTGTGAGTCAGTGATTTGGCTATTGCATAAATTAGTTTGCTCTGGAGCCGTCCTTCCTGAGCGAAGACAAAAACGTGTGAGCCAGAGGCTAAAAGACTGTGAGATAGCTCACACCAGCTGAGCTTAGAGGGAACACTGTTAGTAGCATAAGAATTTGGGAGAGAAAGGCAAAATTGTTCTGGGCTGAGGTACATGCAGAAATGGAAAAAATTGTGAAATGTAAATTTAAGAAAGAACCTGAAATATTACTGTTGGGACTTAAAATGGAAGAAGTCAATATGGCAAAAAGGACATCGATGTGGTATATGATTACGACTGCTAGAATGACATATGCCCAATGTTGGAAACAAGATAAGATCCCAGAAGTTGGGGAATGGATTAAAAAATTACTTTTAATGGCTGAAATGGATAAAATGACAAGGAAACTTAATAATATGGAGGCAGAAGAATTTTTTGCAGACTGGAAAGACTTTAAAGACTATTTTGAGAAATATTGGGATGTAAAGGACAATTTACTTTGCTTTGAGAATTATTGAAAAATGAAAGGTAGCAGAAAATAGAGATTGTATAAGAATTAACAATTGAAGGATAAGTTACCTGGGGATGTAAATAAGGTAAAAGGGAGGTTTGAAGAAAATTTAAGAATTGGGCTGGAGGTTGGAGCACTGTGGGAAGCCAAGAAGGGGGGGGAAAGGGAGGAGGGAAGGATATATAACTGTATAAGATTTGATATATG